AAAAAATAAAAAAATAAAAAATAAAAAAAATAAAAATTAAGAGGAGAAGACTGGGCACAGTGGTTCATGCCTGTAATCCCAGTACTTTGGGAGGCTGAGGTGGGTGGATCACGAGGTCAGGAGTTCGTTAGAGAACAGCCTGACCAACATGGTGAAACCCTGTCTCTACTAAAAAATACAAAAATTAGCCAGGTGTGGTGGCCCTCACCTGTAATCCCAGCTACTCAGGAGGCTGAGGCAGGAGAATCACTTGAACCTGGGAGGTGGAGTTTGCAGTGAGCCAAGATCATGCCACTGCACTCCAACCTGGCGACAGAGTGTGACTCCATCTCAAAAAAAAAAAAAAAGTGACTTTTATGGTATGCAAATTATATCTCAATAGAGCTGTTAAAAAAACCACAGTCGATATGGCCAGTTACAGTGGCTCATGCCTATAATCCCCAGCACCTTGGGATACTAAGGCAGAAGGTTCACTTGAGCCCAAGAATTCAAGGTTACAGTGAGCTATGCACGCCAACCTGAGCTACAGAGCAAAACCTTGTCTCAGAAACAAAGAAATCACAGTAAATAAATTGAAACAGAATACTAAAATATGTTTGAATAATCCCAAAACAGGGCAGGAAAATGGTAGAAATAAATAAATTAAATAAATAATAAAAAAGAAAAATAGTAGTAAAAAAATGGTACACCTAAATTCAAGCATATCAATAATAACATTAAATGCAAATACTCTAAAAAATTTAGAGATTGTCAAAATGAGTTAAAATTAAAAGTGTGACCCATATATATGCTTTCTAAAATGTTCACCTCAAATATAATGAGGTGAGGTTAGGACTTAAAGGATGTGAAAATGCATACTATGCAAACACTAGTCAAAAGAAAACCGGAATGGCCATGTTAATAGCAGACAAAGTACACTTAAGAGCAAAGAAAATTACCAAGAACAAAAAGTGATGTTACGTAATGTAAAACAGTTGATTCAGTCAACCATGGTGGCTCATGCCTGTAGTCTCAGCACTTTGGGAGGCCGAGGCAGGTGGGTCACCTGAAGTGAGGAGTTCATGACCAGCCTGACTAACATGGTGAAACCTCGTCTCTACTAAGTACAAAAAAATTAGCCAGGCGTGGTGGTCCATGCCTGTAATCCGAGCTACTTGGGAGGCTGAGATAGGAGAATCGCTTGTACCTGGGAGGCGGAGTTTGCAGTGAGCCAAGATCACGCCATTGCACTCCAGCCTGGGCAACAAAAGTGAAACTCCGTCTCAAAACAAAAAAAATTTTAAGTTGATTCTTTAAGAAGACATAAGAATTCTTAATATGTATGCACCTAACGACAGAGTTTCAAAATACATGATGCAAAACTGATTAAACTGAAAGGAGAAACTGAAAAATCCAACATTATGATCAGAGACTCCAACATTCCTCTCTCAGTAATAGGCCGAGCTAGTAGACAAAAAAGTGCAACCATCAAGCAACTATGTCTAATTGCCATTTAACATTCGTCCCATAACAGGGCAATACACATTCTTTCCAAGCACACAGGGAGCATTCACCAAGATAGACCAGTGTCACAAGACAAACTTAACCAATATAAAAGACTCTCACCGTGGGTGAAAGTGAAAATTAGTTCAGCCATTGTGGAAGACAGTGTGGCAATTCCTCAAAGACCTAAACATAGAAATACCATTCGACTCAGCATTCCCATTACTGGGTATATACTCAAAGGAATATAAATCATTCTGTTACAAAGACACATGCACACATATGTTCACTGCAGCACTATTAACAATAGCAATGGCATGGAATCAACCTAAACACCTATCAATGGTAGATTGGATAGAGAAAATGTGGTACATATACACGGTGGAATACTATGCAGCCATAAAAAAGAATGAGATTATGTCCTTTGCAGGGACATGGGTGGAGCTGGAGACCATTATCCTCAGCAAACTAACACAGGAACAGAAAACCAAATACCATATGTTCTCACTTATAAGTGGGAGCTAAATGATGAGAATACATGGATACATAGAGGTGAACAACACACACTGGGGCCTTTCAAAGGGTGGAAGGTGGGAGGAGGGAGAGGATCCGGAAAATGACTAATGGGTACTAGGCTTAATATCTGGGTGATGCAATAATCTGTACAAAAAACTCCTATGACACTTTACCTATGTAACAAACCTGCACTTGTACCCCCTGAACTTAAAAGTTAAAAAAAAAATCATATCAAGCATGTGTATTTATTAAAATGGAACTAAAAAAGAAATTAGTAACAATGTGTTTAAAAATAAAAAACCAGTAAAATCTGTAATCACTTAGAAATTAAACAACACACTTCTAAACAATCCACGGATTAGAAAAAAAATCTCAGGGGAAAGAAGGAAATATTTTGAACTAATATAAAAATACAACATAACAAAATTTTTGTGGTGCAGCAAAAGTGGTGATTAAAGGGAAAATGCAGAACCAGTGGATACAGAAGGCTGACTGCACGATATTCAAAGCAAAAAAACCCACCAAAACCAAAAATGAGCTGTTGATGATACATGTAACAACATGGATAAACCAGGAAAACCACACTGAGAATGAAAGCAGACCCTAAAGCATATATAATGTTTGATTCCAGCTATATGATGCACAGAACCTGACAATATAGATGGATATAGACAGAGAGAGAATCGCTTGAACCTGGGAGGCGGAGGTTGCAGTGAGCTGAGATTTTGCCATTGCACTCCAGCCTGAGCAACAAGACAGGAACTCTGTCTCAAAAAAAAAAAAAAAAAGACATAATTTTTGTCTACAAACTCTCACAGAGGCATTAAAGAGTAAAATCAATTACGTTGTATTGTTTCATAAAAGTTTTACTTATTTTATAATAATTGTATTGTATAATAATCACAGTGAGGTAGAGTTTTAACTGGAAAACAAATGCTGCCTGTCTGTGCCTATATGGATAAGGAAGTTGAGGAGACCAGAAATTCAAGTGTTAAGAAGGTAACTTTTGGCAGCCAGGCACGGTGGCTCATGCCTGTAATCCCAGCACTTTGGAAGGCCAACGCAGTGGATTGCTTGAGGTCAGGAGTTCAAGACCAGCCTGGCCAACATGGTAAAACCCCATCTCCACTAACATACCAAAAAAAAAAAAATTGGTCGGGCACGGTGGCTCACGCCTGTAATCCCAGCACTTTGGGAGGCCAAGGCGGGTGGATCACGAGGTCAGGAGATTGAGACCATCCTGGCTAATACGGTGAAACCCCGTCTCTACTAAAAATACAAAAAACTAGCCGGGCGAGGTGGCGGGCGCCTGTAGTCCCAGCTACTGGGGAGGCTGAGGCAGGAGAATGGCGC